ACCAGGTTCTCTAGGTTCTCTCTGTTGATTTTTCTGTGAACCATCGTTCAATGATGCTCGGGGAACTAGCGCAAATTGGTGGCTGATCAGATGGCAGTTGATCTGTTCGCCGAGCTTGGCAATTGGCTTGCAAACGTTTCGTCTCCAGTCGAGGAGACATCGTCAGTGCGCAGTTGTTGGTGCGCATTCAACTGCGCACTGACGATGTCTCCTCGACAACCGGAACGAACGTTTGCGAGCCAACTGCTAAGCTCGGCGAACAGATCAACTGGCATCCGATCAGCCACCAGTAAACACACCCGAGCTACCTATATTTCGACAAATTGACAACTAGCGCAAATATCACTTGGATTCGCCAAAACAATTAACGTCCGCAATTACTCGCCATTCCTGTTGGACGATGTCGCTGATGAAGTGCCTGCAATCACCTCAACTGTCTCTGTCACCTCAAGGCTTGAAAGGTCATCTGGTGTTTTCTCACGTGAGTTGAATATCTCGGCTTTAGCACACTACTTGGGCCAGCTCCAGCAGAAACGCCAACCGCGTTAAATGACCTCTATAGTTTTCATAAAGGAAACTACTCACAAGGCTGTTGAAAACTCTTCGACAGCCCACCACCGGTTTTGCCCTTCCACTTTGGGCTTATCAGGTAGGCGCAGTCCCCGAGTTTCCGTCAACCTTATGATCTACTTGAACCCAAATTGCACTGTTCTCGAGAAATACACTAATTTGCAAATCAATTTGGTTTTCACGGGAGACCTCTATAGTTCATCATACACCCTGATCTGAGCCTCACACATGTGAAGTGTACAGTGTTAAATGGACCAGATAATTTCAAATCCAAATATTTGGCTGTCAAAGTCAATAATCCAATAAGCTAAACTCATCCGCTCGGAAAATTTCATACCCAGCGGTGATTTGGGACCGGGTAGGGTGGAAATATTTTCCGGTCTTCGATAATTGTTGCTTCTATGTGGCATCGGAGTGCCTCTCACGGAAAGCATGTAGGTGCATGAATAAATTCACTGGTTAGCTTTCAGTCTCTCAGTGTCTGGCCTGCAGCTGACGGGAACGTCGGATCAGCTGAGTTATATCATGCGAAAGAAGTAGTAACTTTCGAAAGGCAGACATACCGATCGCAACATATGGGATACATTACCTGGGACTCATAATTAACATTTTGTAGAACCGTCTGCTCCAACGAATTACATTATTTTAGCGAGGAGCTCGGCAGAAGTGATCTCGTTAAGTATAGAAGTTCTGGTTAGGAAACCCAGTGGCTTAAGCAAGTGATCTTTCTGTATTAGATCTCTTAGGAGGGGTTGTTGAGGGAAAATAGACGTGGCTCAGCTGCGTAACTAGCGGTGCCTCTGGGCCGATGCGACTGTTTGCAGCGCGCAACTCTGCCAATCCTCAATCAAACGGGGAAATCCGAAAAAGTAAACACGGCTCCTCATAACGAAAACTACTCACAAGTTTGCTGAAAATTCTTCGAAGAACATCATAAATGAGGGATTCACTCGAGTCTCCCGCGGAAACCAAACTGATTTGCAAATGAGTGCATTTGTCATGAACACAGCTCCCTTTTTGGCCTTCTTTCTAGTGATTTGAGATCTTTTCCTGTAGATGTTGTAAGTGCCGCTCTGTGCTAAACTAACAAGAAGCGATGTACAGCTGTTTCATCTTTATTGAGAGTCATCAGCAGTGCGAACCCCACGATCTTTGTGAACACAGTGCGTCTCAACTTCCAGCTTCACTTACAGGATGAAACTTCGACGGAGAATTAACAAACCACCTCACGTCACCATCACAAATTTAGAAGCCGGAATCCACTGACTTCTAGAGAATATAACTGAAAGATCTGAACTTCCAAGTGTTACATCGGTTATTCCTTTTTTGCTGCTGTTCTCTATCCGTACTGTAAACTGAACCCGTTTATCGTGCATCAAATCTTGCGGAGTTCTTGTTTGTTCAGACATGCTGAGATTCATCATTATCAATGTCATTTCAGGTTTTCCGCTATCAACCTTTTATCTTTCGTTGTAAACAAAGCCGTGGCTTTGCATTAGATGAGCTACCAGTGTGTTAATATTTGAACAGAGCTTTAAGGACGATCTCATCCATACTTTCTGATATGCTCGTATATGGACGTCCAACAGATGTTTGTGTAGCAGCCATCCGAATTAATTCCTTGTAGTCAGTTGATCACCTTCCGGTACCTAGTATACAGCCACGAAAATGCTATCATGAAACTCGAACCAGTGAATTAAACGAGCGTATTGCTTCTCGTTCAGTGTGCGCTGACCTAGGAAGTTACCACTTAGTGGTCGCGCTACCACCAACATCAAGCGTCCTGCCTCGCCTTCAAAATACAAGGTTTCCTGAACCTTAATTGATAATAAACCTTGGTCCAGTATCTACACATGTTACGGATATGGGAACTGCTGACTTTCTGGCAAAGTCCAGATACAGTCATGTCATGCTGTTTGTCCGCGAGCAGTTGAGGATCGCCAATGTGGCCAACATACATCCGACACGCATGAGTATACAAATACATGCAGATGTGGGTGATTAATGCGTATCAGCCAGTCGAAGGAGTGGAGGGTGAAGACAGAGCAAGTTGGGATGGCATCTATCCCTGGCAAGTTTTGGAGATAGGACATCGTATTCATGCGGAACGGATGGAATTGATAAATCTCGGTCATCTGACCCATCAATCATAAAAGTATCCAAATTTGGCTTGGGTATTGTTTTCAGTCAGGCTAATTTTGCGCGTACATCACGTCTCATGGCATGGGTAACTGCCCGACAAGTTTAACCTCACCCATCGGATATTACAAGAAACAGTATGGTTCTATTAGGCACAGAAATCATTTCGATATTCCGTGGCTTTCTTAACTTTCTATATTTATATGATGATCGTGGCCCTGAGTCAAGGAATTTGATCATCTTTTTAAATCAGTCCCATGAAAGCAATATGTGTACGCCTTTCAACTGCACCTACGCTGAACTTCAACATATACGAGCACAATGAAGTACCGAATGTACCTATGTGACGAGGTTTACTTCCACTTCTGATGCTCCGATCTCATGGGGCTACTTCTTTCTACTTGCAACTTGCAACTACTATTGTGGTGGAGCTCTCCTATCCCTACCCGGTTGCTGGCTACTTCAACAGTTTATTAATACGGTTACCTTATGAGAATAGCCTATTAGTTTTGAGTTTGAGAAAAATTTGAACTTGCTTTGGTTGGATCTTGAATAGTCACTCAATAGGTGGAGAATGTCAAGTTCGAGCTTGACATGCCTAATTTTCAAATAGATTCCACCCTAATTTATGAGAAGACGGTAAGTTATTTAAAGTGCAACCGTTCTATGAATGATTTGCAGACGATGGCTTGATCTGACAAGCAGTTGGCTTTCGAGGATTATTTTCGTGATAAATGGGTGTAGTTTCTTTGTAAATGTCGCAGAAGGATATTCTAATCGGTCTTTTGATAACCAGTGTGGTAAAACGGGTTCTTTGAACAGAGCCATAAAAGCACAGCGCACTATTTTCTCTTTTTCAGCTTCATAGCCAAAGCTGAGCATACGGTATAGACGGCTCTGAAAATATGTCTGTGTTTCTCGCATTAGGAAGTCTTGTCTACATTCAAGTTTGATAGCGTCTGTTGTACTTTGATGGGTACCTTGTCTTATGTCCCTTCAGTGGCATTGCCGACAAATTTGCATCAACTGGGTGAGATTGAATAACTAGATAGGACACTGAAAGGCCTGATAGACTGCTGAATGTTGTTCTGATCCCAACAACAGAAAATTTTCACCTTTGCCAGTCAGCATCCAAAGCTTCAGAGCAATTAGTCGAACGGGAAGCGCCATAAGAAAAACAGATCTATTATCGCAGCCGAGTTGCGAATTAACTAGGAACGTCACCTTATGGTGATTCTAATCAAATACTGCACCATTTAATTCCTCCAATACGTCTCTAAGGGCCATCAAAAGCAAGCAGAAGAAGAATACTCCGTAGCTCAACACTTGCTAACGAAATCCACGTAAGCAGAATACCGTAATGTCAACATGTTCATGTGGAATCACCACGCTCCAACAACGGGTTTACATTGATCGTACTGAACAAGCACGTCTCTGGAAACGAGATTAGGGCACTCCTTTCCGAACTGTTTGAGGTTTTATCCACTTCCGAGCTATCCTTCTGTCATGATATCGGGGGTCAAACAACTGGAAACTGAACAGCAAATTTGAAGATCTCGTGTCGTTCTGTAACCACTGGCTGCCCTCAGCAACAGAGTTTACGTAGCCTCTGAGACAACCGTCAAAGAAAACGTTAGGGCAGTTTTGAGGCATATAAGCACCATCTTCGTCGCAGTAGCAGATAAGAACCATAGAAATCTACCAAAACCTACTCTGAATTCCAGTGTGCCTACGAAGAGTCCGGCGAAGTTTTCACTTCAAGAATTTCTCAGTGCTTTCTCAACACTTGTTGGCTTTGTTCATACGATCGACTGAGCAATGCAGCATTCAATTATTTGCAAACGAATCACGAACATAAACCCCGGAAGGAGGGCTGTTGGTATGGATTTTGCCACTAGCGCTGCTCAAGGATCCAAGCAATATGCAACAGACATGAAACTGTACTTCAAAGCTTGCTTTTCTTGGGCTTAGGATGGCTGTTTTAGGAATGAAAATTTCATCACTACCTCAGAATCATTTGGCCAGTTGCCCCCTAAAGTGATACCATCAAACCAATATTGTCACTCAACAACGTAGCATCAGCCATATAGTACCAACCTGTTAAGGCTGGGAGAACGATGCTATCCTAACCCTACTTTTTCGTACGGTTCGTGGCTAGGCGTTCCGGCGAAGCAGAAACACTGATATTCATACCAAATTCGGCACGTACGAATCAGTACTTTTATGTGCTTCAGTTCCGTCCTCAAAGAACGACTTCACTACTAGATCAGTAACCATAGTGCCTTAGGCAAGTGCAGTTCAGGTCTGTTTTTCAACCTAGAAGGTTGTTATGTACTCACTAATACTGACAAATGAAAATATGACTTCACGTAAACATTCCACACACTCAGTGCTCATTCTGCTAAGCTGTCTATGGTTCACCGCTTGAACACCGACCCATTCTAGAGTCTGTGCTGTTTAACCAGGCAGATAATCTCAGACGAGAAGAACGGTGCGGCAAAGTAAACCAAAGCTTAGTCATAAGTTGCGGCTTGCCGACTTCTGCAGCGGGACAAAGGGGACTGTTTTCATTTGCGATTACTAGGTGGCATTTGCCTTTTCTATCTGTACGATACAGC